GTATACTTGCATGTATACATGTATACATACATATATATTATTTCACCTTTTGGAAGTTATTTATATATTTCTCTGTTTGGACTACGCTCACCACACGCGACTCACGTGCTCATGTTACACACACAGATTGTATATATCCCGCCGGACTGCTTTGTAGTAACTGAAGGCCAAGATCTACTCTCGAGTTTTCTAAAGAATGTGCGGTGCGAGCGCTTTTTTTGCACAAATTGCGGATCGCGCATCTATAACCAGCTCCATGGGTTTGTAGAGGGCTCCAAAACAAACGGTAAACTGGGAATATTCCCTGCTTTACTGAATGAGGATATACAACACAAATTACCCAAATTGTTCCAGCCAAATGTACATCTATACAGCAACGAGGCTGTTATTGATATGGAGACTCTCAACGACAATATTAGAAGACACACTGACTGAAATTCTCGAGTCCGATATTATATGGGTGACCTATTCACACTGAATAGAAACATATATTCAAGTGTGTACATATATGGCTGCACTGTTCTGAAAAGTGAGGGGACACGTGAGAGTGTATTGGCATAATTGCGTCACGTACACATTGGCCGCAGGGCTTAACAACGCTCCAATCAAAATATTAAATGGAGAGAAAATTAAGCCGAAGTATCTTTGATATCACGCAGAAGAAGCAGGTTTGACAGCAACAATGCTTCATAGATATGCAATATCAGTTTGTATATGGATCAATGTTGGTTAGAAAGAATACGCGATATTTGCCCCTGCACGTGTACGAAGTAATTGACCAGACTGCACCCTTAAAACAAGTCAACTGCAATCTGAATCAGCACAAAGTAGCTGCAGTGTCAGATGCTGCTTTGAGTAACTCGATAATATAGTCACAACCAGTTGCTCTTTCTTTATTTCGGATCTAATTGAAATAAAGAAAGCTTGTGATCTGTGAGTTGGATTCATTGCCCATCAATAAGAGTACTTTGAAATCGTATACACTAGGGTTCAAGAAGATGGAGCTTGAAGTGAGTATGTAAGTCTACTGTAACATGTGCTTCCACGACACGCGAAGTTGAGGCCAGAACCAATATCGCACAGACTTCTTTTAATTGCGAATTTATGCGACCCTGGCAGTCGACTAGATGGAGACACCCGATATATATCAGTAGCGCTTAGGTTTATTGTGAGTGCTCAATACGCTCAACGATAGTGTATCGAACATTCAAAGTTTGACAAATAAAGTTCCTGATATACAACAGGTTAATACAGTATACTAGAGAGACTGCTATAGTGCTTGATTCTGCTTATAGTAACTGGTAGCCGATAGCTGATGGTTGTTGGGCTGTTTGCTGACACTGGCCCGTGGCTAAAGCCTCTCTCTCTCTGAGAAAAATTAGAATGTGCCGAGGACGGCCGGAGGGAAAATAACGTTAGGCCACATAGCCTTCTAAAATGAAAACAATGCTATGGTTATTGTTTCTGTTTCTGTTGATGAATTTACACGGGTGGCCAACACTGCAAGAGTCTGCGGCAGTGAACAGTCAATTGGCCATGTATTGCTCACACGCCTCACACTTCACAGTTCACACTCACAGTTCACAGTCACAGTCACAAAAATCTATTGCTCACAGAAAATAAAGTATGTATAAAATCCATATTCTATAGCCTTCTTCTAAGAGACTATGGCAAATTAAAGAGGCAAGGTACGGCGCTGGGCCGCCCGGGCGTGCCCAACTGCAAACAGTACACGGAGCACAGTCACATAACTATAAATACATTCATCTTGATCATCAGCTGCAAGAACTCAAGAAGCCAACAACGCCACAGTGAAGATTCAAACATTTTTTAAACCTTTTTAAAAACAAAACAAAACAAAACAAAACATAAAACAAAAAGTGAACGCCGGTTCCAAATCCAGAGTCCCAAGTCGCCAAGTCCCAAGTGACCCAACTCATCACACCGACAAACACACAAAAG